ATTGAAATGTAAAACACCCAATACCCTTACAAGCCAACCCGAAACTGCTCCAGATTGGACCCGGACCACAGCGCGCCCTAAACGTGTAAACTGCACTCGGAGGCTCATGGGTAGTTACAAGTGGGGTTATAAGTAGGGTAACTGTAACTATAACTTCCCCCTTTAGGGACTTATAATCCCGTTTATAACTACCCATGAACCTCCAAGTAAACTCAAGGGCGGGCATCTGGTCCACTGGTGCCGCGATGCAAGGACCTCCAGCATCCCGCAAGAGGATTCCCGAATATGTGAGGGTGGGCAAGGATTGTGGGCGAGGAGTCTATAATCAAGGGTCGAATAGCACTCCGCCTTTGCAATTGAGACTGCCTTAACAGCTAGAATGCGACAGTAGCATTTCAATCAACACCCGGTTCATAAGAATCCAAGGTTTGAGGTTTGGGATGGTTTAGTTTTGGGTTTCAGAATGCAGCTTCGGTCTCGCATCAGGGATTACCCGTGAGAAGCGCCGGGGAAAGCTCAGGAAAACAAGTTCAAACAAACACACAGAGTGGCCTTTGCGGAGCCTTCGCGAGTACAAGACCAATTAGCAACTACTAGAACAAACCTTATGAACCTGGAAACTGTATGTCACAGTCTTTGGTCCGTCTCAGAACACAACGTACTATCAGTATGAAAGAGAAACACACTACACAACAGGTGAGTGGGCTTCGAGCATTCGTCTTTGAAGCAGGCCTCTTTCACACCTGTCCAAGCGGACGGCCACGCCAGCAGCTGCTCGACGACCACGTGCAAGTCCAACAGGAACCTGGTTTCAGCTGGGGTTTGGGGGTTTAGGGTTGAGGGCTTACGCTTTTGAGTGCTTGAGGGATTAGGATTCAGGGTTGAATGCTGAGCTTGGCTTTCGGGCTTGTAGTAGAGGTATTTAGGCTGGGTGCTTGTGCTTGGAGCACTGGCTCCCAAAACCCCAAAGCTCAACCAGAAAGCTCAGGTAGGTTTGGAAAACCACAAAGCACCGACCGAGCTACGTTTCGCTCGTGAAGTCTGCGCCATATTCCGAAGCCTTTGAAAGGCCTGCAGCGGGCGGCTTGGTTCCGAAGGATTTAACTTCAGCGACCATGACCTTTGACTTTCTTTTGCAGTGTACGAATATGAAAGAAGTCTCGAAGAAAGCCGTTAACGAAGAATCTCTTGTCGGAGCGTCGGAGCAGGCATTTTATAAACTTTCAGCAGTCAGCCTACATGCGTCTGGCAGGAAGCCTCTCCATTCATTGCCGGTACACGCCGTTTCGGATTCAAGAGTTAGGGTTTCAGGTTGGGGGCATTTCTGGGGTTTGGGGCTTGGGACAGGCATGGGTTTCTCTTGGTTCAGTTCTGATTTGGGGTTGTCCTTGCCTTCTTGTACGCTTGGTAGGGATGGGCCAGAGCGAAAGCAGACAAGTTAAACGAGAACTCCACAAGCGGCCGACCAGTAGGTGGGCGGCCGGTGCCTTGAGTTTTGGATCTGGCATACTTTACTTTTCGTTACACCCAGCCTAACCCTTAAAGCCTAAACCCTGCATTCAAATTCCCAAACCCTAAACCCGACACCCTGCCCTAAACCTCAAGCCCTGAACGCCCCAAGGCCCTAATCGCTAAACCGTTACTTCTGGGATCTGGTAACCCCTAATCCCTAAACCTTAAACCGTTACTTCTGGGATCTGATAGCCCCTAATCCCTAAAGCCTTAACCCTTGATAAGCCTTCTTCCCAATAAGCCAGGGAAACAAAAGGGTAAACTTTCAGATTACTACTAAATTATAAGAACCAAAAAGTTTAAAGGTTGGGACCCCTGGAAGGAATACCCTATATAACCGCAATATAACCCGTATATACCCCTTGTATAGTCTCACAAAGCCCCTACAACAAACCCAAGGGTCCCTTTAAGGGTCCCTCCTTTAGTCCCTTCAGATTACTATATACTAAATTATTAGAACCAAAAAGCCCTTGACCCTAAACCCTAAACCCCTAAACCCTAAAAGCCACCTTCCAGGAGTTCCTTCATGTCCGGATAGCAAAAGACAGACGGCTGCCCGCGATTCATCTTGCAGGCCTGGCATAGAACCAGACTGTCGGTGATATAAATCCTGCAATACCTTAAGGACCCTAAACTATGGGAATTATGTTATACCTGTGACCCCAAACCCTACAAAAGAACAGGGCATGACGCCTTAAGTAGAGGGCAGAACCCTTAAAACGGTAGGTTTTGGATCCCCAGGTATTCCTTACTTTTGGGTAATGCAGGATTTGTATCATCAACCGTAGGGCTCCTTTAAAAGGTGGTCGAGTTAGTATAGGGAAATAGGAAAAATTCGGCTAGGGTTTAGGGTTTAGGGTTTAGGGTTTAGGGTTTAGGGTTTAGGGTTTAGGGTTTAGGGGCTGGGGTACATGAATATCCTTGTAGTAGTACTCGTCACCAAAAGTCTTGGCTTCACAAGGGTTTGGTTGTTTTTGACCTGGTCCACGCCAAATGCTCAAGGCCGGAGAAACGGAGAACACCTGATGCCATTTGCCTTGCCTTTTCGTAAGCCTCACGCTCTGAACTCTGAGCCCAGAAACGATTGATGGATAGATACATAGACGCATCGATAGATAGACAAATCGATAGATAGACGGACAGATACACAGATCGACAGAGAGATATACAGACAGCTGGGTGGATGGATGGATGGATACCGATAGGTGCATGGATAGACAGATTGACAGACAGACAGGTGGGTAGACACGCAGACAGACAGCCAGAAGATCAGACAGACGGGCAGTGAGCCTAAACCCCTCAACTTGGAGGTTCATGGGTAGTTATAAATAGGTTTATAAGTCCCCTACTATGGTTTATAACTACAGTTACCCTACTTGTAATCCCACTTGTAACTACCCATGAACCTCCAAGAACCCTAGACCGCTCGCCTCGTTGAAGACTTTCTCGGTAGCTTTTCGCCAAGGCGGTCCTCCCCGCGTGAAGCCGCTGGGCATGCCAGGCAAACCTCAGGCGAGTTCTCTCAACCTTTCGGCTTTCGGAAGTTTACGGGCTTAGGGTTTCTAGGGGTTTCGGCGTTAGGGAGTTTAGGGGTGTAGGGTTTAGGGGTTTAGGGGATAAAGGCTTAAGGGGAACCTAGGGCTGCGGCTCCAGAAGCTAGGCCTTTTCGGATTTAGGCTTAAAGCTTTGGGTTTTCTGTTTGAGACTTGTGTGGCACCTGGCTGGTTGCGCAGGTCTGATATTGGTTGGTTGGGCTTTAGCCATCCGCTTATTATTGCGCATGAAGTGCATGTGGGATCTGTTTCTCGGAGGTTATAGCATAGGGGCCTTAATGCTTACGATACGGCCCTTAACCCTAAACCCCTAAGCAACCAAAGCTGAAAACCTCTAGCCCAGCACCCCTAAGAAATGCTTGTCTAGACCGGACGACTTGAAGGGCTTAGGGTTTTGAGGGTTTAAGGTTTAGGGTTTAAGACTTAGGGTCTTAAGGTTTAGGGTGTGGTCTGATACTCTGACCAAGCCGAGGACACCATTCAAGTTGGGCATTTCGGGCGATTTGGCGCCCGCCAGGAGAGGCAGCAATGTTAAGACCGGCGACTTCATGGCGTAGACGCAGGGGTTTGACTTGAAGGCTTAAGGGTTCAGACCTTCATTCGTCAAGCTTCAGGGCACGTGGAGCTTGTGCGGGGTGGGCTTGGATTGGGGCTCTCTTGCATGGTCCACTTTGCAAGGTTGATGATAAGACTTCTCTTCTAGCTCATGTGCCCTGGTCGCAGACTAAAGCGTACAAATTCCTTCGTTCTTTAAAAGCTTTGGGGCGATCGACAAGGGCCTGAGCCGTTTCGAGGCTTTCCCGAACCAGCTTCGGATGAACTGGGGCTTGAGGTTTTCAGTTTACTGCATGCAGCCGGGCTCAGCTGAATAGCAAGCATCCAGCAATCACAACGGTTTCGGGCTAGGGTTTAAGGTTTCGGGTTGGGGCTATAGGATGTCAATGCTGGAGCTTAAGGACCTCTAACCAGCTGGAGGTGCATGCCGTGGCTCAAGGAAGTCTTCGCGACAGCAAAAGCTGCGGAGTGCACACACCGAGCAAGCCTATCCTGCATGAGTTGTCTCAGGAGAAGCGGAGAAACAGCCCCCCCCCCTCGGAAGTATGTATGTATGTATGTATGTATGTATGTATGTATGTATGTATGTATGTATGTTTGTATGTTTGTATGTTTGTATGTTTGTATATATATATATATATATGCATGTATGTTTGTTTGACCCTAAGCCCAAAGTTGAAAACATGGAAGAGCATGCTGGCCTATTGCGCCTCCAAGGCCTAGAGTCCACATTGCTCCGTGAGTTGCATCGTCAGAACAGGATCTGCTGGCTTCAAAGCCAGCCGATGCTTATGTACATGTGGATCCTACTACTGTCTTTGAGGGATTTGAGGGTTATTTCATTTCGGGTTTAGGGTTTAGGGTTTAGGGTAGTTCTTTCCTATCACACATCCTGCTGCATGGCATGGGCACCTGACAAAATCTGTTGCAGGGCTCGGGGCCGTAAACTGCAAAACTCCTAAACCTTTGCGGCTACAGGCAAAGACTAGGGTTTAGGGTTTAGGGTTTAGGGCCATGGAAGCGCCAGACTAGGGTTTAGGGTTTAGGGTTTAGGGTTTAGGGTTTAGGGCCATGGAAGCGCCAGAAACTAATTCCAGGCATACTTCTGCCCAGCAACAGTTCCCCCAGACACTCCGGTCGAAAACAGATCCTTTGCGGACTGTGCAGCATGCAACTGAACCCAAAACTTCTCTACGCTCTAAAACACAAACCCCTGAGCCCTAAACTTGCTAAACTCTATAAGGTGGGGAGATAGCGACGCATCGCCTAAGGAGTAGCCCCCTTGGACCCAAAATACAGAACATGATGTGGAAAACAACCCCATTCGACCCTCAACCCTAAAACCCTATACCGTGCTAATCGATGAGAAGATGTTGGAGCCTTCTCTTCCTCGAGCTCCCTCGGCGCAACGTGAGATGCGTCTCTCAAGTGCAAAGGCTGGGTGTGCGGTCTCAGGTCCGTTAACCTGCCATAAAAACGTAGGCTCATGTAGACCTTAAGCCGTGGGACGTTCTTGGGTGAATCAGGTTATCCGAAAGGTCTAAACCCTGAACCCTAAACCCCTAAACTCTAAACCCTACAGTCTAGGGTGCATTCAGGGAAGTGTACGCTAAACCACACAAGGCCCAGCAACAGCTTAAATTCAGTCGAACACCTGAAGCACAAGAGCACCAAGCCTATGAACCCTAAACCCGAAACCCTACTTGGAGGTTCATGGGTAGTTATAAGTAGGGTTATAAGTCCCCTGATATGGGTTATAACTTTTGTTACCCTACTTATAACTACCCACGAACCTCCAAGTCGAACCCTGAGGTCCTGCATCCAGAGCCTCAAAACCTAAAAACAAATCAACACGCCAGAGCTCCAAGCGTTCACCTCGGCGAAACCTGGAACCGTCTTGATCGCAGGATCGAAACCAAAAGCCCAACTCGTTAACCGGTAAACTCACGAAAGAACGCCCAAAACCAACATGTCGTTTTGCTCCTTGGCTTTGCAGTTGGGGTTTAGGGTTTAGGGCCCATATTTCGTTTTGCTCCTTGGGTTTGCAGTTGGGGCACTGGGCCCGAACTGGGACACTGAAGTCCCGAAGCCCCATCCTCACATCCTTGAGATTTCGACCTGCCTGAAGTGGGAGTTTCAACTAGGCGACCCGGTCCAGATGCTAGGATCCAGATGCTAGGATCCTTGTCCTAAGAACCCTACAAACCCCTGAACCACAAAGAACAACCCTGAACCCTAGACCCTAAAGCGCAACTTATAATTCCTCCAAACCCTAAACCCTAAACCCTAAACCCTAAACCCTAAACCCTAAACCCTAAACCTCCCCTCCCGGTTGCAGAACCACCCCTTTGACCGCCTACGAACCGAGCTGAGATCCGGACAGCTTCTTGGGATCCCACACCTACTTAGGGATTCAAGGGTAGCTATAGGGTTTAGGTTTTAAGGGTAAGTGATATTCTAAGTAAGGTTCTGTTAAGGGTTAATAATATCGTTTTGGGGCTCAGTATACTGTAATTACAACAAGGAACGCCCAAAATAGTATAGGTGCCCCTATAGTACTTAGGAGTTCATGGGTGGCTACAGCGTTCAGGGTTTAGGGGTAAGTTTCAAGTGGTCTTACATATAAGGGGGTTCTGTTAAGGGTTCTACAGGGTTTAGGCACTGGGGCAGTTGAAAAGGTAGGGTTATAAGCCCCCTAGTATGGGTCATAATCCTAACTACCCTACTTCTAGGCCCACTTAAAACAACCTAAACTATAAACCCTACAAGTTATAGGCCAACTTAAAACAACCCCTACACCTGCAAGTATCAAAGCGCCCAAGGCCGCTCACAGTAAGCCCGAAACAGGGTAGAAGTAGGACTTCTGGGCTTGAATTTGTTTTTGGTGTTTAGGGCTTAGGGTCTAGGATTGAGGGTTTCCGGGACTGCGAGCGATGAGTGTCTAAGGTCAGGAGTGTGAGGGCTTAGGGCATGGAGTTTAGGATTCGGTGTTTTTTTTTGCGGCACGCGGAAAACGGATATAGGGCATAGGCACGATGGTTAGGCCTTCTAGGCTTTAGGATGTCGGAGTCCTCCTTCAATACTTCGCTGTTAGAATGGTAGTTCTCTAAATTAGGGTCCCTTTCTGGGCCCCCAAGATAGTACGGCACCCTTATAAAAAGGACCCTAACAGGGATCCTAATTTAGACAACTACCTAAATAGTGAAACCCAGAAAGTTGGAACATAGCTTCAGGATGATTAGTGCCAGGATTCCCCTTTACAGTATGGGCACGAGGATAATGATGTTCCAACTTTCCAGCTTCTACTTTAAGCTAGGTTCCCCAGCAGCCCCTAAATAATAAGGGTACGTACCCTTTTTGTCCTACTATTTGGTTTTATTGAGGGAAGCTAAAAAAGAAAAAAGGGCAAAAGGGTACTACTGGAAACCAAGGTAACCCAAAAAGGCTTAGTATTAAAGGCCCGTCGCCCGCAGGGGTGAAGGGTCCTTCTGTTTATCCACGCTCGTCCGGGTCCCTGCGTTCAGCCTTCGCATGGACAAGTCGCTAAGGCTGCTGGTGTTTAGATTCTGGCATGGAAACTGAGAACAAGCCCTAAGGGTCCATGTACCCAAATAGTATATACTTTGGCCTTAAAGTAGTCCCTATTTGGGTACTTTGGGGCCAATGTATATACTATTTGGGTACATGGACCCTTAGGGAAGGCTTCCTGAAAAGTGAAGGAATCAAAAAGGATATCAGATCTCACCTTTCGGGTTTGGGGTGTAGGCTCAGGCCTTCTGGGCTAGAGCTCCTTCTATTTATGTATATTGAGCGGGAATGTCAGCTTCGTCGCCCGGGTATCTACCCAAAACCAGACTGAGCCACAGAGCCTCAACTCAATCGGATACAGACTTCGCCTGAGATGGCGGAGCAGTTGCTGGCTCAGCTTGATGCCCTATAAGCCCTACACGCCCAACAAGTAGGTAAAACAAAAAACATTACCGTAAATAAACCCTCCGCAGCCAAGTTCAGGATCCGAAAACGCAGGGCCTGGTCGCTGATGCTGACTAGCTCGGCGAAGCCGACGGGTTCACCCCACGCGTCCTTGCTTGGAGGGTTCAGGGTTGAGGATCTATAAGGCCTAATTAAGGCGTGTGTAGGATTGCTCTCCTGTCTGTGATTAGAACACATGTCCAAAAGCTCGAATGTGGCGCACAGTTTAGCACGTCGTCGTTATGCTTGTGTGTGTGTGCGCGTGTGTGTTGATACTTCTGCTTGTATCTGCCCATGTCAGGCGATATGGCGAAGTACGCAGGGAGCACTGTAGCATCCCAGGGAGCACTGTAGCATCATTAGGCATTCCAACTGCCACTGGGTCAGCGTGTACAACCGACAAAGGAGGGACGGAGTAAGGGGAGGACCTGGGTGGCTTTTTGTTCAGAGCGTTGGAGTAGGTCGGTTGGACGGCTGGTGGGTAGCTAGGTAGCTGGGTAGCTGGGTAGGTAGGTAGGTAGGTA